GGTGCATAGAGTTATGCAGTCAAAGTATAACCCTAAGACATAGTATTCGATGATATCCTTATGTCTAGGATGATCCACACTACCAAACGATGAGAGACATTAAAAATTCAATGATACTCTCTACAATGAACCTTGTGGAGTCTCTCGGCGGGTTAGTTGAGTGCCATATGTTCCCTAACAGATCCACCCACGACATCAGCTAAGGCATCACCATGCTTGCATTCCAAGAGGTTCCTACCTTATATCTCCATACAAGTAGATGATGTCATACTAGTCTTATTGAGATCACCAATGCCCTATCTTAGTGATTCAAGACTATGAACAAATGTTAGGTAATAGACATGCAGTGTCCTCGAGTCCTCATGATGATGATCCTTATCATAGATCCTCAAGTGAACACATGTTCTATTCCTAGGGCCTTTATCTTTAAACGCATATTAACCGTAAAATATAGGTGAGACATAAATATGATAAAGATAAAGTATGCTCAAATATATAAATCATGAAATACGAATCAGTACAAGGTTTTCATCTGATAGTACAGATGGTCTCTATGAACCTACATACTAACAAATACAAGCATTTAATCGAAATATCAAAAATCTTCCTAGTGCCTACACTGCTCCAAGCTCTAAGAATTCTCTCAAACCGAACCTAAGAGTTCACTAACTCCCCTCACACAAGAAATCCATACACTCTAGTGGATTCTAGAGGCTTCAAGCCTTGAGAAACACTCTCAAGCCAAGCAAAGGTCGCCAACCCTCGTTGTTGGACCTTATCATACCTTGGACATATTTACCACACAAAACTACTTCACTTTTAACAACCAGTACATTGCTTCGATTTATAAGAGGAAAATATTCAACAAATACAGTGTCTTATCACTCTAGATATATCAAATAAGGCATAAACCAAGCTCCAAGATGATATGATAAATGCAGAAAATCAAGATAGGAATTTATGTATCAAAATGCCTAAATTTCAGTATCATAGAACTTGGATATATCAAGATTAAGCTTTTAATCAATAGACACCAAGATAATTTGAATCAATTAGAATATGTCATTGTGAAAACTGAAAATCAGATTCAAAATTCTTAGTCAAAATTCGTCAAAATTTTAGATTAATCCTTCTAAACAAAGAACAATAGAGGAAAATGAAATATTTGGAATTAATCAAAATGTAACCCTAGAATCTTTAGATTAAAGAACTTGAATATCTCACAATTAAAATTCATAATAGAGAAACAATGCAAGATATACAAGTTTCTAGAATATACCAAGAGAAGTCTCCATAAATCAAATTTAGGATCTTACCACAAGAGACCACATCTTTTCAGCAGAAAACACAAATTCATATTTATTGGTTCTTCAACTTTGGTTCTAAGAAAATGCTTCCAATGCTCAAGATTGAGAAATGATGAACCGATTTTCAAATCTCACAACAACATTAAAAAATTCATGCAACAATTTTAGAGAAAAATGCACAAAGTGTTTAGGGTTCAAGATGAGAAGAACATTGAGGAAGATTTGGGTTTCTCTTGAAGGATGATGATTACAAGATGATCGAACACTCTCACACACTCATGGATTAATGATTCATACTCAAGGATGAAATTTTCTCTTTAAGAAGAATTCTGGAAATTGATCGAATGAGAGAGATTTTTTTGTAGCGAGGGAAAGTTATTTCGTAGAAAGAGAAGCAAATGTTGAGTTATTATTTTTCAGAATAGAGAAAACTGATTTAAAACAAATTTTGCGTCTACTCATGATCACACTCACTTAAGCGAGGAAAGCTAGCGAGCAAGGTTACTGCTCGCGAGGCATGCTTGCTCATGCGAGGAGAGCAGGGAGGAATAACCAAATTTTAAACAAACTTTCGTGACTGCTCGCGAGTATGTTCGCTGAAGCGAGCTCCACAACAAGGAATGTTGCAACTCGCTGATGTGAGCTTTACAGCGAGCATCATCAGAAAATTAAACTCCAATTTTTCACTTTTTATCATACTTTTCCAAAACACTTTCAATGCAACTTCATCAATCTTAACACTCAAAATTTTCAAACAACAGATGATAAATGAATTGCATGATATGCATTGGAGTTTGATATGTTGCTTAATGATATAACTAAGTGTGTTAAAAGGAATCTAAAAACATCTAACCAATAGTTGCTTCATATCTTCGTTTTGAGTTCTTCATTAGGCTTGCATTGAAACCATCAAAATAATTTAGCATAAACTTCAAGCATGTAGGAGGTCCTTTAGAATTTAGCATGTAGGAGTCCCTCTCTCTGGCTGGTGGTGCTACCCTGGCCAAAGCTGTATTGGAAGCTTTGCCTGTATATACTATGCAATCTTCTGCCATGCCTTTTGGGGTGTGTAGAGAAGTGGAGAAGCTCACTAGAAGTTTCTTATGGGGATCCAATCTGAACCAGAGAAAGACTCATTTGGTTAATTGGACCAAAGTCTGTCAGCCTAAGAAGGATGGAGGGTTAGGCCTTAGGGACCAGGTGAAAATAAACAAAGCTTTCTCTATGAAGCTTGGCTTTGGCCTCATCAGTAAGGTGGAGGATCTTTGGGTGAAGGTGCTTAAAGCTAAGTATAAGGTTAATGATGTTATGATTCCTAATATCCCTGTATCTAAAAATGCTTCTAATGCTTGCAAAGGCATTCAGCAGGTTTGGGGTCAGGTTCAAATGGGTTCCAGAATTTTGCTTGGTGATGGCAGGAACATAAAGTTTTGGGAGGATAGCTGGTTACCTGGATTCAATAGACTTCTTGATGAGGCTCAGACTGAAGTGCCTGAAGCTATATCCAAGTGGAGAGTGGCTGACTGTGTATCAAATGAAGGTGATTGGAATTGGGAGCTGCTGAATCAATTTCTACCTGTGGGCATTACTTCTGTTATATCAGGTATCCCCCCTCCTAAGGATTCTGATGACAGAGATAAAGTTATTTGGAGTCATTACTCTTCTGGTGCTTTCTCGGCGAGCTCAGCTTATTCATTTCTCTGCTCTCCTCAATCCAGTCAGGATGCTGTTGACTGGGGTTTAATTTGGAGATGGGGAGCCCCAACGAATTAAAGTATTTCTATGGATGCTTTATAGTAATAAGATTCTATCCAATGCTGAAAGGGTTAGAAGACACATGGCTGATAATTCAAGCTGTCCCAGATGCCAATTTCCAGTTGAAAACAGGGATCATATTTTCAGGAGTTGCGGGTGGACCAGGGATATGTGGAAGCACTGGATTGATAGTGCAGACAGTGGGCAGTTTTTTGGGTTACCATTTGATAGCTGGATGATGATGAACCTAAATTCCAAAGGTCAGAGTTCTGATTGGCAACTTAAATTTGGTGTGATCTGCTGGTATATATGGAGGGAGAGGAACAATTTTATTTTTAAAGGGCAAAGTTTAGATCCCCAGACCTTCTTCAGACAAATTTCTACTCACATTGTGAGTATTACTTCTGCCAATGATGTGCTGAAGGGGACAGGTCTTGAGTTGGAGCGTGTGAGAGAAGTTCGGGTCAGCTGGAGGGCTCCCTCACAAGGCTGGCTTAAGTTTAATGTTGATGGATCCTGCAGGGCTAATGGTTGTGATTTGGCCTGTGGAGGGGTGCTCAGGGATGAACATGGTAACTGGATACATGGCTTCTCCAGAAAGCTTGGGCATGGGTCAGTTTTAATGGCAGAATTGTGGGGCATCTTGGTAGGGCTGCAATGGATTTGGCAGAAGAATATGAGGAATGTGGTGCTAGAGGGAGATTCCCTGGCTGCATCTCAGCTGATTGCACATGGGTGTGTTAGTTCTCATCCTTGCTTCTTTCTTGTTAATAGGATTAAAGAGCTGATGTTTAGTCATTGGCATGTGAATATTTTACATACACATAGAGAAGGCAACCGAGTTGCTGATTGCCTAGCCAAACTCAGGGTTGATAATAGTTGGGATACGCATTGGTATAGCAGTCCACCAGATGGGTGTAAGGACATAATATTAGAGGATTGTAGGGACTTGTCTATGCCCGTTTCTGATTCTGTCTAGTTTCTCTTTGCTTTCCTTGTAATCCAAAAAAAAAAAGAATTTTTTGATACGTAAGGTTTTTCATTTTTTTTTCGAGATCTTTCTTGAACGCAATCTCTTGTATTGATATGTGTTAATGAATCTATTAATGCATTAAATGAAATTAATACGCGGCAAAAATTTTCCATGTTTTCCTTCCAATCTTTTGTTGGAATAGACACAATAACACACGATAACAAATCGAAAAGAGAGAAAAGGAAGAAAAGTGAGACAGCAATTTACCCCGGCTCACCCAATGTGGCTACGTCCAGCAATATGGATTATATTCTCCTCACTGCAATCATTACAAGCCACTATGTTTACATGGGGAATATAAATAGAATTAGAAACTCTAAGAAAGAACAGATATTCATGGGCTCAAACCCAAACTACCAAAAAAACAGAAAAATAAAATAAGAGACCTATTACAGTACCAGAGGCCTCCGCGGTCCTGGGAGCGTTGACCTCACACCCCCCGAAAGCTCCGGACCCCGGCAGCTCACCGGAGAGCGAGACCCCATTTGGCTTTCTTTGTGCCTCGCCAATAAGAATCATAATTTAAATGCAAAATTTGAGCCATTCCGTACATCTTTATCACCGTATATAAAGTTATATCATATTAGCTTTCTAATCGACCTCGCGCCTGTTGAATATTAATCCTGGGTCTATAAAAGTGGATGACCTTAGGAATACATCACAGATCACTCCCCTTCAATTCTACTATTATTATAGTGCTGAGGTAATCCCTTACATCAGTTTTAGACTTTTAGGCCCTTTTTCCATATGCATTAATTTGTCAACGTACGCCACTTTTTTATATGATTTCTAGTTGACAACGCGTAGATTGAAAATTATTAAATTAGCTTCCTGCCTCAATAAAGCCAGAAAACCTTGGGAATCACGGACCAGTAACTTGATATTCGTTTAAGACAAGTGAATTGAAGTGCTGCAATGGCTGCATATCAGGAAGAAGTGAAGCTTTTGGGAGTTGTGGAAAGCGCATTTGTGTGCAGGGTGCAAATTGCTCTAAAGTTGAAGGGAGTTGAATATAAATTTGTGGAAGAAAAATTGGACAACAAGAGTGATATTCTCCTCAAATACAACCCAGTTTACAAGAAGGTTCCTGTGCTTGTTCACAATGACAAGCCCATATCAGAGTCCCTTGTGATTCTTGAGTATATTGATGAGACATGGAAAGACAACCTCATCTTGCCTGCTGAACCATACCAAAGAGCCTTGGCTCGTTTCTGGTCCAAGTTCATAGATGACAAGGTAACTCTATTCTTCTATTTTTTCTTGTTTTCTATTTTCTTTCTAAACAAGAAGTCTCAGAGTATGTTTGAGAACTCAATAGTTTACTATCAACCGTGAAAAAGTTTGAATTCATTTCATTTATAAATTATACCTCTTATAAAAATTGTTTAAAATCATTTATCAATTTCATTTATAAACTATACCTTATATTATTATTATTATTATCTGTGAATTATGTGGAATCTTATCGGGATTTGTTAAACGTTTTTTTTCCCAAAAGAATTGAGTGATACTTATCGCACGAGGTGACTATAAAAATTTACCATAAAATGAGATACCAAAAGAATAAGTTACCATAAAGTTCCTTTCAAACAAACTTGATTTATTTTTATATAATTAATTCAGTCGGAATTCTATTACTTCTAACTTCTAACATGATTACTAATAAGTACTCTAATATGTGAAATCAGTGCTTGGCTGCTCTAGTGAAAGCGGCTTTCACCAATGATGAGAAAGAGCGTGAGAAGGGTGTTGAGGAATCAGATGTGGCTCTGCAGTTCCTTGAGGATGAGCTCAAGGACAAGTTCTTTGGTGGTGAGGAGTTTGGCTTGGTGGACATAGCTGCTGTCCTCATAGCTTTTTGGTTTCCTATAGTTCAAGAAGTAGTAGGGTTGCAATTGTTCACCAGTGAGAAATTTCCCAAACTCTACAAATGGAGCCAAGAATTTATGAACCAGCCTGTTGTTAAGGAATCCCTACCCTCAAGAGAGCCACTCTCTGCCTTCTACAAAGCTCGCTTCGGCAGTCTTCCTGCTTCAAAGTAGATTTCTTTAAGTGATACTCATATGTATGGAAAACTGCCTTTGAGTTATTGCTGTTTTAGTTTCATATCAAATTGATACATGTAACCTAGGATCTCTCCCTGTGAAAAAATACCAAGGATCTTGTGTCCATTTTTGCTATTTCAGTCAATAAAGCAAAAAAATTTTCCCATCTTATAAATTTTGTATTTCAATGTGTGTTAAGAAATGTTCAACACGGATAGGTGGAGTGATAAGTTATTGTGTAGATCAAGATAGAGCGATTGGTAAAGATGAGTGAGGTTTCTTAATTTTCCGCTCATAATATTTGCGTGGTGGTTTCTGCCTTGTATGACGGAGGAGAAAGGGTGCCTGTTGCGCTCACGACAAGTGCACCGATCGTACAAGTAATATAATGTTTAAGTAAAGAATCGTTCCCACGAGGATTATAACTCAATCACTAGTTCACTACTTCGATTTAAGTTGGACAATCGAAATTTGATTTGTAACAAGATTTGAATTGAAATTAAATATTAAAACTAATTACGAACAAGAATTTAAAGATTTTAATTTACTTAATAGAAAATAACGTAGTTAGGGTTTTGATTTCCTTCAATCTCTCTATTATGTATGAGTTCCTTCTTTATGTTAATCGTCATTAATATCAAACAAATCAATTCTTTCTTATGTAATTAGAATTCAATCCCTTGACATCCTAAATCTTTACAATCTTGCAAGAACCCTAGTTCCCCAGTTATTCTCCAAGAAAATAAGCGTTAAGTTCAAGAATTTCAAGATTGCGCAAACCTTATGTCTATTCCTAGAATCATAAGACTTACGATGAAATTATCAGATACGGATCATGCACCAACATTCCTATTGTCATACATTTACCTAGGATCAATCTACAAGATTCAAGCTCATATAAGGCATTAATAAAAGACAATTTCATTCATGATAAAAAGGAAAATTAACATAAAGAATTATTCAAAACATAACAGATTGATTAAATTCCATCTAATCCTAACTACTATGAAAACTTAGCCGGACATGGCGAAATCAAGAAAGAAAGAAAATAGAACTGTGAATCTTCAATATCTCCAGTGCAGACTTGATCCTGATTCGTCTCCGACCTTCAAGAACATGAACTGTTGATTCCTCCGCTTTCCCTCTACCTCCAAGTGTCAAGAATGATCAAAGAATATAAAAAAGTGAATAATTATGTCCAAAAATGTGTTTTTGTGGGCAAAGAATCCGTGCTCTAGGTGGATACATTGAATGGGCCTAAGTTGGATTTTTGGGGCATGGGGCGCTTAAGCCTCCTTAAGATATGCATGCAGATTTAACGTGGTGCGCTTAAGCGTGCTGATGGGCGCTTAAGCGCCCACGTCTAAAAGAAATTTTACTCTTGGTCCGCTCTAAAGCCCTGAGTTAGAGGCTTAAGCGCCCTCAAACAGTGGATTTTTGCATTTTTGGATTCTTTGGGGGCGTAAGCCTCAGACTGGAGGCTTAAGCCTCCTCTTCAAGAACTTGATTTTCGTCAAATAAGATCTTTATGTCTTCAGTTCTTGATCTCCATCCTTCCAAATGTCACATTTGCTTCCAATTATCATAAAATACCTTCAAATTAAGCAAATATATGTTATTTAAGTTCTAATCACATAGTTGATGTAATTTTAGTCTATAAAACTAGATAAACTAGAGGTTTATTAGTGCCGATGTATCCACCAGCTCTGAATTGATTTAGGATTTCTAGTTTGGAAACATAGATCTCTTGCTGTATTTAACAAGTGTTAAACCACCCTATTTTGTTGGGGTGTTTCAGTGCAAGCAGTTTTGATAAAGAAATCCTTTGCTTAAGAAAAAATTAAGCATCATGAATTCATGGCCATTATCAGCGCCGAAGAATTGTATGGTGGTGCTAAATTGATTTCCAATTAGAGTTCAAACTTTTGTATATGACTTCGAGTTTCTAACTTGTGTTTCATGATAATTATCCATGTGAAATAGGAAAAGTCATCTACAATAATTAGGAAATATTTGTAACCATAAATAGATGGAATTGAGTGAGCACCCTAGATATCAGCATGCACTAGATCAAAAGAGTGAACAGATTTGGTTGTAGTAACAGGAAGAAAGGTAGTTTTGATTGCTTCGAGTATTGACATATATTACATGGTGAAGCATCATTACATGACATGAAAGGAAAATAGATGACATAGTATGTACTACATAATGTGAAGTAAGGCCAAATCTGAAATGCCAGTCTATAGAAGAATTGGTGTTAACATATTGTGACAAGCAGGAGTTGCTATTGGCTGCAGGATGTCCGATCCATTTATTCGTCTAGTAGTACCAATCGTTCTCATGGAAGAATTCTATTTAATATAGCAATTTGAGTCATGGAAAACAAAAGAAGAGTCACTCTCACTAGGGAACTTGGAAATGGAAAGTAAATTGGCTTATTTATTTATTTATTTTTTGGATAAACCAGAGCTATTCTCCATGCCGTACACATTCTGATTCAAGCCAGGATCTATATCTTAGTGGGGCTAGTTCTCTCAAATGAGATTTTTTGCGTTTACAAATATTTGAACCTAAGACCTTTCTTAAATGGAATCAAACATGTAGAACTTGAACCAACTCTTTTGATTGAAAGTAAATTGACTTTGAATTCATGAACAAACAAAACATTATTTCGGATCAAACCTTTATCAAACTAGTCACCTTTGACAACATACTTTGATTTTTCATGTAATTTTGCATACATTTGACTTTTTAATTTATCAAGCTTTGACCTATTTTTTTAAATTAATCTAGACATAATTAGATTAATACAAGACCACTTCTAGTCATCAAAATTTCATAGAGAATTTAATTACTCAATCAAACATAAGCTTAGGCCATTATTTTGCTTATTTGCAAATTAGTTCCTATACTTTCACATATTTATATCTTGACTCTTAGACTTTATTAATATTCTTATTTAGGTCTACTTTACCTTACTTGATATTAATTGTATCATCATAAATTTTAGCATGTCAATTCATTCATTTACACAACAAAATTCACATCAAAAGGTTACTTATTCAAAAGCTAGTGTAAACTAGTAATTAGCCTTATAATCTTTTTATAATTTCAAGATTTCTTAATGTGGGTTCCTATACAATCAGTGTTTAAAAACTCGCCTCGGCTATTGACGCGGCCGAAGTCACGGATCACGGGGTCACAGGTTTACTTCACTGACCCGATTTTATATGTTAAAAACATATTCTATATGAAAAATTCAAAAAAATCAAACCACTAATCACCGGGGATTTAAAATATACTAAACATAATTCAACCAATTAGATTCACAAGTCAATATTACACAAGCTAATAAAAGTATCAAAATATCAAAGTATAAAACACATATTTTCAAATGGAGTTAATGAAAAGTTATATCATCAAACCCAGACCCTCCTTGTCCTTCTCCACCATTTCCGTCCAAACACATATTTCATCAGGGTCAGAGAAAGCTTTAAACCCTATTGCTCAGTAATACAATAATATAACATATGCTCAGAGCAGAGAAACCAACCAAGAAAAATAATGGATTAGTGAAGAGAAGAACCACCACAACGGAGGAAAGACGGTGGCGCGACGGAGAGAGAAGACCGAAGAGGTGGAGCCACGGAGGAGAAAACACCGAGGTGAAGACGTCTGCGAGAAATGAGAAGATTTGCATATGTTTTTCATTTTTGGATTTCAGATTTAGGTTAGCAGCGATTTTTTTTCCCACACAAGACATTGTTTCGTGTGAATTTTTTTTTAAAAGAAATACAGTGACCTCTCTGACCCGGAAGTCACCGAGATTCGATCAGGTTACGGGAATCAAAAGAATCAACATGAATGCAGGGTCTAATGCTGACCCCAACCCTCAGAAATAGGAGATCAGGATTTACCCAGTAATTTGGCTGAGGTTTTAAAATACTGGTAACAACAAGTAAGCATTTCTTTTAAATAAGAGATTACGACACCCACCAAGTGGGTCGCCTCCATCATGAGCCAACATTTTCAACTTAATAATTGAAAGCTTTACTGGAATAAAATAGATTAGTTTCCTTTAGAAATATTGTATATGTACTCTCTATGCTTTAGCATGATGGATTCATGCTTGTTTCTTTGTAAGTTTACAATAAAATATTTAAATAAAAAGATAAAAAAAACATTAACATAGATTTGAATATGAAGAATATGGCGATATAATGAATGTATTCTCGCACCGAAGAATAAAAAAAGAACATTGATATGATAAAATAATTAATCGTCAAAATGAGTATACGGAACTACGGATAATTATAATATTTCATTATTCAAGCCAAAGTCTAAACAAAATTAATACGTGTTCGATGTTCCAATTAATGTAGATATGTGAGTATGTGACGGGTGAACCCATGTAAACAATTTATATTTTATTTGTTTTTCAAGTCGACTCCACTCCACTCTTCAATTCTATTATTATTATATTGTCGATGTAATCCCTTACATCACTTTTGGACCTTTTCCAATATGCATTAATGTATATTAATGTCACCTTCTCAATTTCCTTTTTCTTTCAACTTTTTCTGCACCGTATGATTCTAGTTGACAATTGAATATTATTAAATTACTTTCCTGTACTTTCCAAAAAAAAAAAATTTAAATTAGCTTCTTGGTTCTATAAAGCCAGAAAACCTTAGGACTCTGAGACCAGTAACTTCATAAATATTTGTTGAAGTCAAGTGAACTGAAGTAGCTCAATGGCTACATATCAGGAAGAGGTGACGCTTTTGGGAACTTTGGGAAGCCCATTTGTGTGCAGAGTGCAGATTGCTCTTAATTTGAAGGGAGTTGAATATAAATTTGTGGAAGAAAAGTTGGACAGCAAGAGTGATGTGCTCCTCAAATACAACCCAGTTTACAAGAAGGTTCCTGTGCTTGTTCACAATGAGAAGCCCATATCAGAGTCCCTTGTGATTCTTGAGTACATTGATGAGACATGGAAACACAACCCCATCTTGCCTGCTGAACCTTACCAAAGAGCATTTACTCGTTTCTGGTCTAAGTTCATAGATGACAAGGTAACTCCATTCTTCTATTTTTCTTGTAAAGATGAAATCTAAGAGTAAGTTTGAGAACTCAAATCTCAATAGTAAACTATCAACATATGAATCGTGTCCAACACTCACCGACACTCTGACACTACCCTGTTAGAATTTGGTATCTACACACATGCAAGAGACAACCAGACTTGTGTATCTACAAAAAAACTTTTCTTTTCTATTCTTGCTTTCTTGCTCTTTTTCTTTTTCTCATGATCTACATTTCATACAAACTATCAAAGGCTATTTATAAGCTATAAAACTGACCAACATAACTTCACACATAACACCCTCATTACTTTATAACTGACTCATTAATATTCTAACTGACACAAGAAACTAAAAAACCAAAACTGCTAAAAAACAGACATTTAAAATTTATCCCAACAAAACTCCCCCATAAATTTTGAATTCTTCTTTCTTTCTTCGTGTTGCTTCTACTTTTCTTCAACTTTCTTATCGCGCCTGTTTTCTTCAATCTTGATCACTGACAAAAAACATTTAACACCTTCCAACTTCATTAACTCAAAAAAATATCTCCCCTGCAATTATTTTTCTGAACATATTTTATTTTATCCGGTGGCTTCTTCAATTTGATATTTTCAGTTTCATTAGCAGGACTTTCCTTGTTTCCATTCGCTGCATCTTCTTCACATGTAAGTTTCTCGTCACCCAAATTCTTCTCAGTTTCATTCGCCACTTCATCAGTTGCTTTTACAATTTTATTTCCTCGTCCAATCCCAATTTCTGCATCATTGATATTGTCAACAAAACCTCTTTTTCTCTTCAAGACCACATCATTTTCTTCAAATGCACCTTCCATTTTTTTGCCGTTCTCGGCTCCTTCATTGCTGTCTTCCTCGCACCTCCTCAATGGCATCTCGGACCAGCGACCTATGCCGGTCGCCGACGTCGACCTCGTCACGCCGGGGTCGAAGTCTCTTCCAAAACATGAACTCGGTGATTTAGCTGGGATCTCCCCCATCCCGGTTATCAACATGAGACTCGGATTCGCAGTCTCCTCCAAGCCGGTCTCCATCAAGCATCTCGGATTCCACGCTTCTCGTTCCTTTGCTGGCTTCTCAAGCTCCTTCGACATCTCGTCTTCTTCCTTATCCTCTCTATCCGGCTTCTGAATTGACTCGCCGCTCTCAACGTCTTCGATCTCGGCTCCCATAGCCCCAGTCATCGTCTTTTTCTCTGATTCATCTCTCTCACGCCCCAACACGTCGATCCTCTCCGCGGATACGTTGCCGTTGGCAACCTCGGACTCCGCCATCTTGGTCTCTTCTTCATCCGCAAGATTCTCCTCATCTTCATCATCATCATTGATGATTTCATCTTCTTCTTCATCAATCATATCAAATCGTCCAGGTAGATATTTCGCTATAAAGGCTATTTGAAAATTATTCCACATGTTATTAAAATCGCGGCAGTCCCATGTACGGAACCATTTGATTGCGCTTCCTCTGAATCTACTCAAAGCTTCATGCCATTTGTCCTCTTCAAATGTTTTTTCTCTCCGAAAATATTCTTTTAGACAAAGTAAGAAGACCAATGCTTCATCTTTATCTCCATAAAAGAGTGGCACTTCCATCTCGTTCTTTTCCTCCATAGTCCAAGCTCTGATACCAATTTGTTAGAATTTGGTATCTACACACATGCAAGAGACAACCAGACTTGTGTATCTACAAAAAAACTTTTCTTTTCTATTCTTGCTTTCTTGCTCTTTTTCTTTTTCTCATGATCTACATTTCATACAAACTATCAAAGGCTATTTATAAGCTATAAAACTGACCAACATAACTCCACACATAACACCCTCATTACTTTATAACTGACATAACTGACTCATCAATATTCTAACTAACATAACTGACTCATTAATATTCTAACTGACACAAGAAACTAAAAAACCAAAACTGCTAAAAAACGGACATTTAAAATTTATCCCAACATACCCGACACTCCAATACTCGTTGCAAAAACTCAAAAAAGTTCAAAGATTACGTTGCGTTGCATTTTGAGTTCCAACTATTAGATTGGTTTGATTATGATTACGATTTTATTGAGTTTAATATAAATATTTGAGATATCTTATATTTCTTTGCAAAATTGATGGTTATTATAAGTTTAAATTTATTTTTTTGTTAAATTATTGAATATTAAATATAATATACACTACATAAATTAAAAATATTATATAATTTCAAAATCTATCGAAATTTAACATTTTTTAGAATTAACGTGTTGGACTGTCTGTCGTGTCGTATCTTGTGTCCCGTGTCGGTGCAACATAGCTATCAACCCTGAAAAAGTTTGAATTCATTTCATTCCATAAATTATACCTCTTGACAATATATGTTCAAAATCATATCAATGATTAATCAATTTCATTTTTAAACTATACCTTATCTTATTATTGTGATCTGTGAATTATATGGAATCTTATCGGGATTTGGCAGATATTTTTTGTAATACGCAAATCTGACAGTTGGTAGTATTGAGATTTTGTTGTATGGGAAATATTAATCTCATTTCACATGAGACATCTTATCTCATTTTTTTTCACTTCAATTTTCGCACCCCACCTTTTTCTTTTATTTCTTTTTTCTTACAATAGTGGGACCCACCCATTTTCTCTCTACCACATAAGATAAAGGAGATTAATAAAACCCAAAGATAAATAGCTTGTAATTGAGGGATACTTATCGTACGGATGACCATAAAATGAGATACCATAAAGAATATTTTAAACACATTTGATTTATTTTTATATAATTAAATCAGTCGGAATTCTATTAGCTCTAACTTGTGACATAATTACTAATAAGCACTTTAATTTGTGAAATCAGTGCTTGGCTGCTGCATTGAAAGCTGCTTTCACCATTGATGAGAAAGAGCGTGAGAAGGGTGTTGAAGAATCATATGAGGCTCTGCAGTTTCTTGAGGATGAGCTCAAGGACAAGTTCTTTGGTGGTGAGAAATTTGGCTTCGTTGATATTACTGCTGTTTTCATAGCCTTTTGGATCCCTATTTTTCAAGAAGTAACAGGGCTGCAATTGTTCACCAATGAGAAATTTCCCAAGCTCTACAAATGGAGCCAAGAATTTATCAACGACCCTGTTGTTAAGGAATCCCTGCCTCCCAGAGAACTACTCTTTGCCTTTCTCAAAGCTCGCTATGAAAGTCTTGCTGCTTCAAAGTAGATTACTTTAAGTGATACTCATACTTTGAAAGGAAAACTGTATGAACCACTTGTCCGTTTTTGTGTTATTGCTGTTTAAATGTCGTATCAAATTTGATATATTTAGCATAGGATTTCTCCTTGTGAAAAAAAATAAAAATCCTTGGATGTTGTTTCCGTTTTTGTTATTTCAGTCAATAAAGAAAATATTTTTTCCCATTATATAAATTTTGTAGTGGGAAGCATTTCTCTTCCTTCCGAAAATCCTTGAATGCTCATACTTCTTATACTCCTATTGGTAGGAGACTTGAAGTTGCTAGTCAGCTACTACCTTCCAGTGATTAAAAATTTTCTTCAATATGAAGGACAACATATCTGATATACAAATTGCAGCCAATGAAATACGCATACAAAAAATATTAGTAGAGAGAGCCAATGTATGCCGGCTCAACTGATTGACTAGATGCATATTAAACAATTTTGGAATATATAAGTGTGATAAGTCCCACGTTGATTGAGAATGGACTAAGTGAAGTCTATATAAGTTGAGAAATTCATAAACTCAATGCCTTGAAATTTTAGATTGTGACATGTAGTCGGACTCACTTGATGTGGTTGGTCTTGCTTAGCTCATTGATGGTGATCCCCTACCATGGGATGCTCCTTGGACCACTCGGGAAAGAGATGGAGCATACGAATCGTGATGGAGCTCTGCTTGCTCCTCAAGAATCTCAAACATGCTACTGATGTAGTTATTACTTATAGTTGTTATATATTTTGTTCTGGGCCTATGGTAATTTCTCTTGTACACAATTAAAAGAAACATGACCTGTCTTATTGTATCAAAGATACAAAGAATGCTATGAATTATGAGCTCATACATATAGCAAAATATATAGAAGCAACATAACTACGAACTAGTAGGTAAACATTAGCAGTAACAAGTAGTGCCTTTACTGATGTTTAATCTTTTTTATATGCCTTGGACGCACGAACATTGAGCAAAAATAAATAGACACTAAGGAAAAGTAAATAGTTAATTTAATCACACTTGAATAACTCAACAGATTCATGGAGCTCTGCTTGCTCCTCAAGAATCTCAAACATACTACTTATATAGTTACTTATAGTTATATTTGTTCTGGGCCTATGGTAATTTCTCTTGTACACAATTAAAGAAAACATGACGTATCTTATTGGGCTTTTTGATCATTTTGCTCCTCATTAATTAATTAATAACCATTTTGTCCCTTATTCAAAACTATCCACCAATCTGCCCCTCTTTAATCGATTAACTTGAAGATTTAATCGATTAAATAGTCAAAACAGGCAAAAATAGTTGACTCGAGATTTAATCGATTAAATCTTCCAACAAGCACTAAAGGTCAAATCTTCTCCATAAACAAAAGCAGAGTCCATGCATATAAGCAAATCAACAAGCATAGATAACCAAATAAATAAAGAAACCAACAAATTCACCTCTTGAAAAAGTTAGGCTTGCGAGGCAGAGTGAACGATGCAGAAGATTTAATCTATAATCCTAAGAGTTTTGAAACTGTGGTTATGCAAAAGAGGTCGTAAGCATCGGTGAAGAAACCCATGCCAGCTATCGCAATGGCTTTGATGTGGTACCATTGTGTACGAGATGCATCAAGGGCATCAAGCACTGCTAACCCCATTTTTGAAGGAAGGTTTTTTTTTACCTAATTAATTAATGCTACTTTCTGTTACTTACAGGTTTTGCTGTGGATGCTCTCTTCTATATAATATGAGAAAAATGTTTGTCTTTTTAAATGACATAACTTATATCATTTCACTCTCACAAAGAGGTGGGACCCACATCTTTATTTTTTTTGTCTACTCCCTCTCCTCCTTTATCTACCTCTTTCTCTCACTTAAATAACTTATATCTACCTCTTTCTCTCCTCCTTGAGCTGGTGAGATAATTCTATGCCAATGCTTACACCGTTGAGCAAGGGACGAACAAGGAGTATGTGAGCTATGTCAGCGGAAAGGAAATATTCTACAACTCTGACACTATTCAAGACCTTCTCTAGACAGCAAACCATGACAGAGCTGGATGGAGCAGCTGCAGTTTCCAGAACACATGCCACATGCCACACAATTACATATGAGAATGAGGATCCTTTTGGTGTAGCAGAGCCAATCCTCCAGGGTCTCACACTTCCTGGCGAAAAGTGGGACCCCACTAAAGACCACAGTCAACCCAAAAGGATCTGGCTAAAACAGCTGAACAATGTGGCCAAAGTATGGCACCACTTTATAAACAGCAACATCATGCCCAGTTTGAACCAAACGGAGATTGTGGTGAGAAGAGTTGTGCTGATTTATACTATTATGAAGGGACTACAGGTGGACTTGCCCCGGATCCTAGCTGATAGCATCGACGAGATGGCTCACAAAAAGGACAAGACAGCCGCCATTGGACATGCTTCTCTGATCCAGAGCCTCTATGCAGCAGCAGGGGTAGAGATCCCCACTGAAGGAGATACATCTCATTGAAGCCCCAGATAGACGCCAAGTACATTTCTACCTACATAAGAGGATCCTCTGTTCCTGGAGATGATGACCCAGTGCCACCACAGGAGACTCGCGGCAGACCGAAACGTACAACAGCACCATCTGGTCCAGCTGAGAGACCACCAAATCCGACTATTGAGAGTCGTCTGGATGATCTCGAGACGCAGATGGGATTCCTCAAGCGGCAGCTCAGGTATATGCAGTAGAGGGAGCAGGAGTACCAGACCTATATGGTGACATATCACTGCCCTGCTCGACCTGATGGACCTCCACCTTTCCAGCCAGCGCCATATGACGGATCAGATGAGGAGGATACTTTCGATGCGGCCAGGAGGTGCGCATCGACAGCCCAGGCCACGACTTCACATGCTGCGGAGGATGCCGATGCTGATATCGGACATGATGAGGAGGCTGGCGAGGACACAGATATGATCCCTGCCATTGTCCGAGACGCTGAGGATGATGACATGGACGACTGAGATATTAGCTCACTTCTGCCACCCCTATCCCATTCTCCCCATTTTATTTTCTTTTGATGATTTGAGATTAGCATTTTTGTTGATATGCTAACCCTGTGACATGATTTCATACTTTCGCTTTTATGACTGATGAGTTTAGATTGTTTCAGGCTATTTCAGAATAAGCGACTAGTTATGCTGTAGCTTGCACATGATTTTTTTTAGATTTAAATCTGTTGCTGAGGACAACACCATTTAAATCTGGGAACGGAGAATGCGTGTTCCATCTAAGCACAATGGATTGAGCCGGAGGAATTGCATGAGTATACACAGAATCTCTGGTCAAGACAGGGAAATATCTCAAATCCTTTTTTCCTGCAATTTTAAATTTTGTTTTTAATGTTTTAATTAGATAATTTTAATTGTTTTTGTTGAAAAATCCCAAGCCAATATTTTTTGTGAAAATTTTGAAAGTTTTCTCAGTGTTTTAATTGGAAAAATGGCGGGAATTTTAAATTAGTAATTGATTCAGAGCATGATGATGCACTTATACATATTCAATTTTTTATGAACATTATAACACCTCGCAATTCTAAATTAAATATTAAAATATCAAATGAGGATTAAAGGGAAGGATTAATGAAAATCCTGAGAATTAGGCCAAAATACAAAGAAAGGGGAAAACGGTAATTAGCCAACACGCAACCCTAGGAAGATAAAAATTGAGTAGAAGGTCTCAAATGATAAAAATAACCTCGGAAATGGATTCAGAACGAAAAATTGAGTGGTTAGGCAAATTTCAGAAAAATTAGTGAATAGTGTTTTTACCAGGTCAAAATACTGCGGTACGATTGCACCGTAAAATGTGCCAGTTGATTTTTGAGCTCTAGGTTTCAAATATGATTTATAAATGGTTTATAGAATTAGGAATATGATTTCTGATAATATTTGAGGGAATTAAGTCAGTTTGGGGAAGCGTGCCAATGGCGCGCGCAACGGCTTAAAACAGTGTTTTCTCCGAACGACTGGAAAACTCCATATTCATCTGATCAAGTATAATTAAAGGAGAAGGGTTAACATTAAAAATTAGAATTTCTAAATAGGTTATGAATTTTTTGACGTTTAGTGAAAGTTAGGATGAAATTTAAATCGCGTGACGTGGCGTGAGACCCACCCACTTAAACCTCACTTAAGCCACCTCACCCCTCACTATTCATCATCACCTCCCTTTCCTTTCTTCTTGCAAAAACCGAGCAGCAGCCCCCCTCCCCCCATTATTGTGCAAAAATTCCATTTCATCACAACTTAGCCATTTCACCACCGAATCCATTGATTTTTGTCTTGAATCTTGATGGAAAACACCTCCTAAAGCCATTGGTGGCACTCTTTGGCCTTGAAACCGTCTCCTTGAGGAGATCATGACCAAAATTAGATCCGAAAATTTGAAGAAAAGTGGTGTTCATGGAGTCATATGGTCTTCCAATGCTTGGATAAGTCTTGGAGGAGCATCAAGCCTTGGTTGTGAGTATATTTCCACCCCATTTACATGGTTTGATTGTAGTTTATATTTATGAACCCTAAACCTTGAAATTTTGATGTGTGATGTTAGAGAGCTCAATTGGGAAAACGTTGTACATGAAAGTGTCTTAGAATAATTTGTATTAGCTATAAATGCCATGAAAATTTAGATGAAAAGTATGGATTTTTAACTTAGAATATTTTGAGGTGTCATGACTTGGATTTGGAAAATGTGTTAAGATGTTATTGGTGAGTTGTTGGAAGATTATATGTTGATATAATGGTGTTGTATGAGGTGTGAAATGATTAAAATTGAGTGAGAATTCTTTGGAAATCCCAAGTGGGCAATTCGGCCATATAGAGAGCTTTAGGGAGTCGAGGTTGTTTGTGTTGATTGGGTGATATTTCAAGTGTTGAATGGTATTAAAATGGGTTGTGTGGTGGTTGGAAAGTGGTAGAATCAATGAAAAATAATAAATTGTATTTAGGGTCATAATGGAACCTAGAGTGAATTATTAAGCAAAACGATGCTTAAAAGACGTAAAACG